ACAAATTAGGTGTGGGTTACAACAAAAATGCAATTAGAATTAGAATTGTACTGCAGCAAGCCACACCACGTTAATGTTATGGGAGAAAACCGAACTATATCATTCATGGAAATATGCATCCATGGAGCATATTCAGCCAATCACTGTGAAAACATCAGATTCAGCTGTAATATTACTGTTATGTGTTATACATAATGTGCGTCCTCTAAGACCATGAAAATGGTTCTTTGCTAATCGCATGTATCATACTTATGGCACGTATTTGTAATTATAAAACACTTGTGTGGATACAGTGTTATGCAGCCTAATTGTCTTAATATTCATTTATTCTGACTCAAAATGGTCAGCAATGAAGGAGCTGTGAGTATTGGAAGCTGGGGAGGCTAATCCATGACTGATAATATTCCACTGTGGATTTTGTTCTCTCTAAGTATTGAGAGTGAGTATTAAAGTACTTACTGTTTTCCTTTCAGATTTAAAGTATGTGAGATTTGCATAGGTTGGCTCAGGGTGATGCTTTCTTTTTACAACCAGGACAGGAGAGAGAACAGGAGGAGAGTGCAGCTCTGATTAAGAGTGCAGCAGACTGATGAGACACCAGGAGAGCAGGAAAGGGGAAGAAGAGGAGAACAGATAAGACAGAGATGACAAAGTTTAATTATAACACAGTAAAAGCAGGAGCTGTGAGACAGTTTGACCTGATTTTACTATCAAATATACTAAACATCTTTAAAAAGGTATTTTTATCAAGTGAAAATCCAAACAATTACAGGGCTGGGCTAAGCTGCCAGTGTTTCAAGAGCAACGCCCCCTGATGACATCATTCCAAACATTACTGTAAATGATGGTGCCTGTAACTGTCCTCTGCCTACAAAACCGTGGGTTTAATTAGAAACATTAGAAAATAAAACAACAGGGTTTTTTTCTATTTCCAAAATGATAGAATCTGTGTTTCACCATTTCACAGGGCAGTGTCTCCGGCACTCCTGGAACAGCTGCGAGTGGACATCAGACAAATCTGTTCAGAAAACCGAACTGCTCTCAGCGCGTCACACCCAGAGAACACAGTTATAACTGCCCTCCAACATACTCTTCAGCCACCAGGAGGAGCCTCCTGACCTTCACTGCACATACAAAGTTGTCACCATATGCTCCTTCTGTGCAGGTTGGTTTAGGGAGATGCTCTCTCACACACACACACACACACACACACACACACACACACACACACTCACACACAGATGTGGATTTTGCCTCTAAGCTCTGAAATAATTCCAGGCAAGACAGACAGGTTTTAAGCTAACATAAAAGAATGCTAACTGGGGGGTTATTATAGTAACTGAGGACTCCATGGGACGACCCTGCGGTGAATTTGATGAGACGTCCAGTCCTGGGAAGATTGGCAACTCTCTTAAATAATTTTCACTTGTGAATAATCTTAATAATAATGATGGACTTCGAATTGTCCATGTAACCCTTGCCAAACTGATGGGCAGCAACTAAGATTATTGATGAAGATTAATCAAGTGTATCTGATTAACAGCACTTAGGTGTTATTTACTCTCTTCTTCTTATAAAAGTAGCAAGGATGCACTTCCAAATGCTTCTTTGTTCTGCTTTAGTTCTTGACAAATGAATAATGAGTGATATATATTATGTCTTGTTATGTCTGAGGTTTTATTAGAATTTTAGGGCCTGCTGAATACCACATGATTTTAGTAGAATTCAAACAGGGTGTGAAACACCAAGTACAGTTTCCACTGGGGAATTTTGAGGATTAAACACTTATTTGCTCATTTCTGGCAATTTTCTATGTACCAATACCTACCAGCTTATGGTAGATTTGTCCTTATTACTGACCTGGAAAATAATTCTATGAAAATCTCAGGCATTCTGTATTTGCTTTGAAAATATTATTTCCACTTTTGTCATTTCATAATATCACTCACATAGACACACAAGAAGATATGATTTATTCTTCTGTCTTTTTTATGTTTATCTGGTTACAGATGTGAGAAACAAATCAGCTTAAATGTGCACGTTTCACCTATTAATTAAAACTTCTCACATCAAATGGATGTGCATTAAATATTTGAGGCTGTTGTTGAGCTATGGATAAAATGTACAATTTTGCACACTGTTCTCGTGGCACTCACAGACTGCACGAAACATTACTGTGGTTCCTTGCCTGCAGGCTACACAATGAGAACCCTTGCCTTGGATCATCGCAAGTAAGATTTTGTTGCAGCAATAATGTAACTCTCAACAGGAGTCCAGTGTTTAGGACAGTTACAAGACAGAAAAATAAAGATATACAGTAACAAGATAAACACATTTCCTTTAGTGTAAAATATTCAAATAAATAAAGTAAACAATCCACTATCAAATCCCAACTGTTGTTGGGATTTGATAGTATTTAAGTATTTAAGTATTTAAGTATTGCTAATAGCAGCTTGGAAGTCATCTCAAAACAGCCTCATGCATGTATACGGTCAGTTCAGCAGGTTGTCTACTAATTGGAAGGTCGGTGCATCAATCTTTGGGTATTCCAGTTTGCATTTTGAAGTATCCTTGGGCAGTTTTCCTTGAGTGCATGCGTGTTATAGCGGATCTGAACAATTCAAGAGCTTGACAATACAAGACACCAACCAGACTGAATGTTGCACTGCACAAGGTTGCTGTGCATACAAGTGGAGTTGCATGTGCTGTCCAACTTAGTAGATGGTGCCGTTCAGTCATGGCTATATGTTTCGAAACATTTTCATATAGACATATGTTCATTCATTATAAATACATAGGAGCAGGTGCTGATTTGTGGCCATGTTGCTCTCCCATTTTGAATACTTTGATCATATTTTTTGTATGTGGCTAAATACTGAACATATGGCCAGTAAGAAATTGCACACGTTTGCATGCTGTGGAAGCAAATTTTAACATTTAAGATATGACGAACCATACCTTTATTATCTGAAAAAAAGAGTCCCTTCACCAAAGAAGTGAAAACGTGAAGGAAAGACAGAGCGTGATCTGGATAAAACATCATCCTCTTCCTGGAGTCAGGGCTCTAAGACATGAAAACGTCAATAAATATGGCTATGGTTTTATTCTCGACATCACAATTATCACTTATTATCAGCAGTTGAAGACAGCTGACAACAAGTCAGCTAAACAACAACAGCTGGTTATAAGCTAACATTAAGCCAGTGGGCTAATGTTGTACTCAAGTGTCCTAAAAATCAAACTTTCCCTCTGAACAGCTTGATCATTTTTACGTGTTTATCTCTCCTGTCTTTTCTCGCCCCAAACCCCTCGCTGCAGATGGAGTCCCCTCCCTGAGCCTAGTCCTGCCAGATGCTTCTTCCTGGGGAGTTATTCTTTCCCACGTTTGATCCACTTCAAAGGAAGTTTCACCGTTGCTGGCTAACAGCAGCAAAAAAAGCAGAACTTACCAACAGGAAAGTTCAGGATATCCTTAACAACTCATGCCAGTATCGCAGTCATCAGTCAGAAGTGACTCGCACTGACTCACGTGTTCTGCACCGTCTTGAATCGCAGGTTGTAACTTGTGAATGATGCAGTGAGGAAAATGAGTCAGATAAAGGTTGGCCTTTTTACACCTTTTTCTGCACCATCACTTGCAAAGCCAATGAAGCGTGCACCTAGTTTCATCTGATACACCTGCCATAACTGCAGGATACAGCAAGCAGCAGCCCCTGTGCATAAGTGCAGTTAACAAGTTGTAAACAATCAGGAAAACATCTGATGCACAGAATGAATACTTCTATGATTTTTTTGTGAGTCTCCTGATGCTGTGAAGTTTAGATGCGATTTTTACTGTTGTTTGTGGTGTGGACTGCTTGAGAAAAAAAATCTTCATGTTTGGCTAAAGTTAATCGCAGCACATCACGAACATCTGCTCATTTGGGTTTGTTTTACAGTCCCAGGACCTGGGTACCTTGGGTAACAGTCAGTAATGATGAACTCTGCAGTCTAATGTGAGGCTCTCTGTAATACAGCTGAAGCTTGGCCCAAATTGGATCATGCAACAGCACAATGATCCCAAACACAGCAGCAAGGAAAAGAACCAAAGCTCAGTCAAAGTCTAGACCTCAACCCTGTTGAAATACTGCGGCACAAATGCCTGCAAGCATCAGTGAACTTAGGCAACACTTTAAAGAAGAGTGGGCTAAAACCACAACCACAACAAAGACTGATAAAGTCAGCTGCTTCAGGCTGCTATATATGGTTCTACAAGCTACTGAATCCTGGGTTGTAGAAAGTCTTTTATAAAGTGTTTTTATTTAAACATTTTCGTCTTCAAAGTCAACACCATCTTTAACTGACCCATGCCAAGGTAATATGTATTACTTGACGATTATTTGTCAACTCTTTGTCTTGTATAAGACGTGGTTTACACTGGATATTAGTGTCGCTGGTCTTGGTCATGTGACCTATCGCAGGTGATTTAACCCCCCCCATGTTTCACAGGTTCAATAAATAAGGACATTGTCGTTCTTCAGTGAGTGGATCATCCATTCTTTTCTATGTTTAATAAAAAAAGAACAATAGCGTAAAACAAACCTTCCCTCTAATCAATCAACAAAGAAAAAAGGAAACAAAATACGCTGACATTCCTCTTCACATACCATTTAATGCTATCAGTGACTTTTCTCTACAATAAGAGGTGTTATCAGTTGCTCCCCAGCAACAGCAACTCATCTTGCTCTGCTTAAAATCTCAGATAGTGAATTTTTTAGGCTTTAATTGAGGTCCGACCTGCATGACATGTTATTATATTATATTAAATTATATATTATGTACTGATTTTTCTTTCTTTTAAGAGAAAAATATTTTTTAACCTCACTTTCCATGTTTTTTGGGTGCACAAACTTAAAATGCATCTGTTAAACACAGAACAGGTAAGTGTATAACCCCAATAAGTCATACCATCATGCTTACTTACGTGGACTTGAAGACAAACCTCATCGAGACACATGCAGTTAAAATTTAAATGTAATTATGACAACTTACAATAAATTACAACGTGCTTTTGTCAATAACAGTCAAATTCATAAAATTAGAAATACAATAACATTACACCATTGATAAATAAACAGATAAGACTTCAGGGGTGAATGAATCGTTGTTTTCAAGGAGTCAAACTAAATGGCAGACACAAGGTGCTTATGAGAAATTCATCGTGTAACTTTTTATCAGTTTCACATTTCAATACTGGCTCCATGTAGTGTTGCTATTATCAATGCCTACAATGAGATCAAACTAAGCAGGTGCAGAGCGCTAAACATCAAACAGTGCCTCATGTCACCTAACGCAACACAGACACACAACTGAGCAGTGGGAGATATTTCATAACAGCAGCTTATTGCTTCTCCTGTGGACTGTCAAAAAAGCTCACTTGCTACTGAGTGGCCTGCAGTCTTCCTTCAAATCACCTGGATTCATGAATACTGACAACAATGAACTAACAAACAAAGTTTCTCTTTTTGCGAGAGAAACATATGAAGCAAAGTAGTGTTCTTCCAACTGTTATGTATCTGAGCAGCTTACTGTATATAAACGCCTGAAATAGTCATCTTGTAAAATAAGCTCTGACCCAGACTCTACAGGTGTGGGGAGACATACGACCAAATCCTGGGCATCCAGGATGCGAGTCTCCAGGTATCAAGCAAAATCCAGCGACTTCACATCTATTCTGCTTTCTTAAAAAGCAGTCGCTGCACTTCATGAGGTGAAAATGAAGGAGTGCTGTCACAATAATTTCACAGTCCGGCAGCAGATGTTCCGTGGTTGAATCTGTGGTGTGTATACGTATGTTTCTAAACCGTGGCAGCAGATGTCAAATGATGACGGCAACTGTTTATCAGTGGGAGTTGTGTGTGTGTGTGTTATTGTGCAGGCATGACTCTCCACAGCTGTGCTCATTTAGAAGCCTTGTATATGGCAATAGGCCTCCAGGCTAGAGAAGAGGACGTAGAGGAACCAGAGTCCAAAGAACAGCAGTGAGGTAAGGACTTTGGGGACGCGTGGGCCTCCTAGTTCACCACCTATGGACGGCCTTCGGCGAAGCATTAACACTCCCATACACAAGAAGGCAAAAATGGTGAAAAGCGTGACAGAGAAGGCCAGTGATCCTGGGTCCACACGGAAAACCTTCCCTTTGACTTCCCAGTATATGGCAGACACAGACCAGGCCACACCTATGCCCAGAAACACATTAACTGCGTTACTTCCTGTCACGTTTCCCACAGACGCATCTGCGTACTGATCCTGCGTAGCAGCAACTTTACTAGCAAAGGTGTCTGGAAAAAAAAACAGTCAAGTTAGAGAATGAGGCTAATCAGCTGTACATTCTTACATTCACTTTCCTAATTCAAACTTCTGCAATACAAGAGTGTTTACAACAACAACTATGACAACAAGAACACCTCACTAACCAGGAAGAGAAGTCCCCAGTGCTACAAAGACCACTGCAGTGACAGTGTCTCTCAGGCCGACGGTGCACCCGAAATGGGAGGCTAGGTCTCCGATAATGGCTGTTAAAATACCAATGACAGTGATTGACACTATGAAGCACGCCCAGCCATTCCAGTACCCTGTGGGTGGGACGCAAGCAAACAGGATCTTCCAGAAGATACAAAATATGTGCATGAAATAGTCGAAGCAGTTGGGCACTCGCTGCTCCTCTCCCTCATCCTCATCACCTGTTTACCAAGACACAGAGAAAGTAAATCAAACACGGCAAAAAAAAGAGAAGACGTCAATACCTACAAATGGTGCAATCACACTTTGGGCCAATCACAGACCACTTCATAGTATCAGATGAAGCTTTAACCCTGTAAGACCCAACGCATCAAAAAATATTATCAGTATTTAAAGCATCTTAAATCTTTCACATCCATGAGCCAAGGCGACGTTTACTGTACACTAGTCAGTTTTAACCACCAAAAGTTTATTGTTGAAGTTAGAGTTCTGTTTGGGGGCGATCGTGGCTCAAGAGTTGGGAGTTCGTCTTGTAATCGGAAGGTTGCCGGTTCGAGCCCCGGCTTGGACAGTCTCGGTCGTTGTGTCCTTGGGCAAGACACTTCACCCGTTGCCTACTGGTGGTGGTCAGAGGGCCCGGTGGCGCCAGTGTCCGGCAGCCTCGCCTCTGTCAGTGCGCCCCAGGATGGCTGTGGCTACAATGTAGCTCCCATCACCAGTGGGTGACTGGGTGGGTGACTGGTTGTGTAAAGTGCTTTGGGGTCCTTAGGGACCAGTAAAGCGCTATACAAATACAGGCCATTTACCATTTACAACACAGAGACATTACCACACTTCCCAGTCCACATTGTGTCCATACCTGGTTTCAAAAGTACAAGTCTTAATTATAACGTTCACAAAGTCTTGTAATAAAATTACATGCAGTGCAATAAATTTCATGCATAAAGATTCACAGGCAAACCTGAATTTCAGAAATTTACAAGTGAAGCTCCAAAAAAATGACAAAAACACAAAACAATAAATAAATACAAAGATGCCACTGACCTGCACTGACTGTGACCGCCCCGATGAACTGCTCTTTCCATGAGCGCGTACCAATCACCACGGCCAGATTTGTATCCTTGAGCAGTTTGTCCACAGTGTTCTGTTGCAACAAATTAAATATGTTGGTAATCAAGCAGAAACAATCATTGCTTACATGGATGCATACACAACAGATGGGTTCACATTACACAGTTTCAAGACTTTTTTCAAACCACGTCTCAAATGTCTTTTCATTTTAACTTGTTTTGTTATTTAACACACACCCCGACACCAAAAAGAATAAATACTATTTAAATGATCATTCATCTATCTAATTGAGAATAAGAACACATATTGGCCACTTAATTAGGTATACCTGTTCAACTGCTCTTTAACATAAATATCTAATCAGCCAATCACACAGCAGCTTAAAGCGTTTAGGCATGTACGCAGGGTCAACACAACCTGCTCAAGTTCAAAGAGAGCATCAGAATGTGGAAGAAAAGTGATTTAAGTGACTCTGAATGTGGTGTGGTTGTTTGAGAAACTGCTGATCCACTGGGATTTTCCTTCACACTAGAATTTAAGGAGAACGGTCAGAGAAAGACTGGTCAATGAGTGCCAGTTCTCTGGGTGAAACTGCCCTGGTGAAGTCAGAGCAGAAAAGCTAGACTGTTTCAAGCGGATAGGAAAGCAGCAGCAACTCACATTGTTGCCCGGTCTAATCAGTCTAATTAGTTCTGTTGCCACATTTGGATGGTCAGAATCTGGCAGGGTGGATCCATCCTACCCTGTATTAACAGTTTAGTTCTGCAGTAATGATATAATATTATGAGGCATTTTTTCTTGGCACACTTTCATCCCTTTATAATCCCAAGTGTTAGGATAGTGTGCCTTGTCACACAGCTCTAATCATCTCAAACTTGATTGTTAAACATAACGATGAGTTCAATGTACTCAAACGGTCTCCACAGTCAGCAGAGTACCTTTCAAGAGATTTGAAACTGAGAAATCTGCAGCAACTGAGTCATGCTGTCATGTTAACATGGACCAAACTGAGTAATGCGTCCAGCATCGTGCTAAATCTCTGCCATGAAGAATAAATGTATTTTTGAAGGCAAAAGGGGTTTGAACCTGGTATTATACAGGTATACCTAATATAGTGGCTGATGGGTATAAACACAGTACCAAATGAGATGGACTTAGTCAAGCAGTGCTTACACAATACACAATGTACACATACATTCCTTCTATGTATGGGAAATAAAGGTACATGGAATGAAATAAAATAGATAGATTGGAAGCAGATGAGTATCAAACAGCGCGTGAGTAGAAACTGTACCTGGTCTAGTACTCCATTGGGACTCTGACGCACAACAAGGCAGCAGGAGGTTAGTGAAGAAAACCACATACTTGTACAATCTTACACATTTATTTTTCAAAGTTTTTAAAGGAATTTGTCCAAATTTGCAAGTAAAGTTCTGGTTTAATTTGTCAATCTTCAGGCTGCATGTGTTTAACATAACTTCATGTCAGTAACTGCCACTTTACTTGCAGTGTAACACTTGTATGAGCATCATAATATAAGAAACAAACACCCCCCACTCACTCCACACACACCTTAAACTCACAGGACTCCTCTATGATGACCTCTAGCCTGCTGTGCTCTCCAAGAATGGGTTTTCCCATCTCAGAGATCCTCCTGGCCTGTTCCTCCTCAGGGGTGGGATTCACTGTGAGAGAGAGCAGACAGGAGATCACTATTCAAGCCTTAATGATATCTTACACACGTGCTCTTAACCTCAGTTGAAGCTAAGGTGAAGAAAAATAGCACACTAGCACAATGTAACATGTTATATAGTAGCTTCTGCATTTTTAACCATTTACAACTGGTTGTAAATTTTGCCATCAGAGTGGGAAGACAAGTGCACAGTACAGTGCATCAATTACATTATATTGCCAAAGGTATTCACTCACCCATCCAAATTATTATATTGAGGTGTTTCAATCGCCTCGGCAGGCAGACTGCTTCCACAAACACACTCAGGAGCTCAGTGTATTCTACTGTGGTATTGCAATGAGATGTCACCTGTCTAACAAGTTATGACATGTCCTCACTGATAAATATATCCACAGGCAACTGTTAGTGGTATTATAACAAAGTGAAAGCAATTGGGAACAACAGAAACTTGGACACTTAGATCGCTGAGGTGCATAGTGCACAGAGGTCATCAACTCTCTGCAGATTCAATCGCTACAGACCTCCAAACTTCATGTGGCCTTCAGATTAGCTCAACAACAGTGTGTAGAGAGCTTCATGGAATGGGTTTCCATGACCGAGCAGCCGCATTAGAGCCGTACATCACCCAGAGCAATGCAAAGCGTCAGACGCAGTGGTGTAAAGCACACCGCCACTGGACTCTGGAGCAGTGGAGACATGTTCTCTGGAGAGACAAATCATGCTTCTCTATCTAGCAAGTCTGGGTTTGGTGGTTGCCAGGAGAACGTTACTTGTCTGATGCTTTGTGCTAACTGTAAAGTTTGGTGGAGGGGTGATTATGGTGTGGGGTTGTTTTTCAGGAAATAGGCTTGGCCCCCATAGTTCCAATGAAAGGAGCTCTTAATGCTTGTGGTGGCAGATTTCTTTTGTATTAATCATATGTTTTAATCATATCACATTAGTAATAGTAATATCGCTTTCTCACTTTAGTATAGCAAGATCAGTCCTGTCACCAGTTGTATGCATGCATGTAGAATGTTATCACAAGTGGACCCCAAGTTTTATTACGCCTTCACAGTGGATCCATTGTAGACGGACATCCTGCTCAAGGGAGGTTTTAAGGATGGGGCTGAAGGTAAAGCCCCCCCCCCCACCCGTGAGATGGGCCAACATGTAAGAGTTGTGGAAGCTGACATATCCATATTGCAATATGTTATTAAACCACTTCAAAATGCTCCCCTGGGGTGTTTGCAGGTTATTTAAAATTTCCACAACATGCTTCGGCATGTCCTGACCTCTACCTGAGGTCAACTGCCTACTTGTCTAATATCAGTGTCTGACCTCACAAATATGCTTCTGGAAGAATCGTCAAAAATTCCCATAAACCCATCAACACACTCCTAAACCTTGTGGAAAGCATTCCCAACAGAGTTGAAGCTTTTCCTGGCCCAAAGATGGTTTCTGCTTGCTTGAGTGAAATGTGCTCACCTGGGTTGCACATAAGCTAGCCAGGTTTTCCAGTCTTTCTACTTGTACTTCCCGAGTGTTTGGCCCTCTTCACAAGCACATTTAGTGTTTCATCCTCTGGCCCTGCCACTATTTTTTTAATAAAAACACAAACCCGTGGAATAAATATTAATGTATTCATAAACGTTTTACAGACGTCTTCATGCCCATTGAGACAAACTCACAAATTGACAGTAAGGTATTAAAGTGAGTGTAAAAAGAAGCAAGAGCTTGGGCGTTCACTGAGCTCAAAACAAGAAATGCAAATTTCTGCTGATAGTGCAAAACGACCACTTCACACTGTCACATTTAGGGCCAAGGATTTGGAATTTCAAAATAATAGCCAGCTATTTTAAAATGCTGCACAGATCACATGCAAAACCACACCCAAACAATCTTACCCTGGTTTAGCAGCAGTGCTGTGAACAAAGACAGATAATGACTGAGTACAAGCAATATTTTCATGCTGTGATAAAACAGCCTTACACTCATTTCCCTTCTGAACTTCCACAAAAATTATTTTATACACGACTACTTCTTTCCCCTCCACTGGCATGCAAATATCCAATTTCTGCATCTTTTTGACACAATGAGGTTACACGAACAAATAATTACACCAGTAACTCATAATTAGCTGTAGCGTCTGTGCTGCAGTGAAACAGAGACAGTAGTGAACGCCTGCGTGTGAGGTTACTTGCAGCATTCAGCTGCGTGTGTTGTTGTTACTGTTTTGATACTTGATCTTGCACATTGATGCGATCTAATGCTTTCTATTAGTGTAGATGAGAAAGGAAAAACAGACTACAACTGTTATCTTATACTAATTTTTTTAAGTGACAGAGTCATGAGAAGTCACTTTAACATTAAAAATGAAATCTGAAATAATTACACACTCACAAGAGAGTCCTCGCTTTAGCCATTTGGGGTCGTCAAGCACAATGAAGAAGTTTTCCTGCTTTTCATACTCCTCCACGTTTATAATGCACACTCGCAATGTCTGACTGAAGACACAAGCACACACACAGACAAACACACACGCACTTATTTCTATACAGAACAGTTCTGTGATTTTACACAGGAAGAAAAACTCAGAAATACAACATAGTCTCTGCTTCTTAAGCATCTGCACCTATATATATGTAACATGCATAGGTAATGTCCAATGAACTGAATTTACCAGTTGACACACCTGAGCTCAATAGTGAATGAATAGGCTCATAGCAAAGACTGTGAATACTTTCATAAAATTGCAAAAATTTCAAGCAGACCTTTTTTTATTCGTCACTTTGTGTGACTTAAAGTGAAAAATAAATATAGGCTTAAGTTTTAGCACCGAAGCCAAAGTAGAGATGTCAGGAATGACAGCTTATAGCTAGATTAACAGTGTGCCCCTATCTCCCAGTCATTGCCTCTATGTTACTATACCTTACCTGGTCTGCTCATTGGTGAATTCCAGCTCCCCTCTGGTCTCCTCGTAGTCCACTCCTGCCTTGGCGCTGCCATCTTCCGTATGGTACGGCACAGCAACTGTGCCCCTGGACCCCGAGTTCCTCAACACAGTCACCGTCAGGATGCCTGTGCTCTCACTCACCCGCAGCACATGCTGCTCAAAGGTGAAGATGCCAGCATGATCGTCGTCCAAGATGGTGACCGTAGCAACCAGCGGCTCCACTAGTCTCCCTTTGGGTGGAGTCCCCATCCCTTCATTTCCACCCTCCTCTAACCTCAGGTTCTGAAGGCGCACAAAGAAATGCTCATCCTCTTCAAAGATGTCATCATCCAGGATCCTCACCTGGAGAGAGCAAAGTATTTTAAAGTTACATTCCTTCCAGATGCACGTGGTTGTTAACCATTTTATTGAACATTCACTACAATTAAATTCTCAGAATGACAGATTCTTTGATCCCACTGATGACAGACACCACAACTATAGGGGAGAAATCTAGATTCCTGGTCACCTCTCCAGGACAATTTTTGTGTTTGACACTTGACAGTGATGATAAACGTTAAACACTGACACTAACATTAGCTTTTTTTCCTTTCTTACCTTGATTTCTTTGTGGGTCTCCCCTGGTTTGAACACCAGGGTTCCCTCAGTAAATTCATAGTCTGCTCCAGCATTGGCAGAACCATTTTCTGTACAGTAGTCCACATAGAATGTATTCTGACCAGTTCCCCCATCGAGGATCACCCCCAGGGTCAGAGAGCCACAGTTCTCCGTGCACTGATACTGGGAGCTTTCAAAACAAATGTGCGAGCACGTGGCCTTATCAGTCTCGTGGCCTGAACGTCGCGCGTGCTCAACAGCATGTTTCTTTAATATGTTACCAGCACCGATCATCATGCGAGTCGCCTGGACACGGTAGAAGGCACGGCTCTTCTTCTGGTGAACCAGGGCAGAGTAGTTGGCCATCTCGATCAGCTGGTCCAAATCTTTGTCTGGGTGTTTCTCCTTAAGATCTTTCAAGATGCGGACAACCTATCAGAGCAGGAGAACTAGTAGTCAGACTAGGTCTTGTGTTTACACAGATATGTGTGTTGCTTAATGTTATGTAAAAACGCCCTTTAAAAACGATTTGCTCAACAGTGTCTTACAAGAAGAGATTTTATTGTAACTATCCAGACAGGGTTTGCAGTGGGGATGTGAAGAGGGATGCTCACACCAGAACGAAAATAAATATCTTAGTTTGCGATGACACAACATGTCGTTGTTTCTTTGACGACCTGTCTGCTCTTCTGCAATTCCCTTATTGAGACTCCAACTGAGATAAAATCTTATTTGCTTCAGGAAACGTGATAATGAACTGCCACTATTTAATATTACATGTACTTTGTATTTATTTTATTTGCTATGGACCCATGCGTATCTTTAATAAAGTGAAACTAAACTAAAAACTAATGTCTAGTGTGACCATTAAATATGACTGTTTATAAACTCACTGAGCTCTAAACAAAAATGAACTGATTGGAAATGTGTGCAGTAGCAGTAAGAACTTTACATGCATTCATCATGAGCATGAACATGAAAATACATACATACACCCCCACTAATATTTGGCTACATTTTAGTGGGTTTGCCATCAACGAGCTGTTAGCATAGTTTTGGCCACACTTCTTGGAAGAATTTGTAGTGTTCACTTAAATTAGTTGGTTTCTCGGCACAGATCTGGCTTTGGAGCAATTTTCAACATGGTTAAGGGGAGGAGCTTTGGTACTCAAAGATAACCAGTTTAAACAATGTACATAGCTGCAGATTATTTAGATGTGGGACCACTTTGCCACGATTTAGAAGAAGACATCGTGACATCACCACAGACTGAGAGGCTGCAGACCAAGAAAGAAGTCCATGCTCCTTCTCTAAAATGTGCAGCTGCCCACATGGACAAGCCAAATGCTTTCTGGGCAAAAATTTATGGTCAGATGAAACAAAGATTGAGATATTTGGTCACAATGACAAGACATATATTGGGAAGAGTAAAGGTAAGGCTTTCTGAAGATCGTATTAGCGGTCAAGAATTGTTGTGGCAGCATCACATTCAGTTCATGCAGCAAAGCATGAAGTGGATGGAATAATGAAGACTGAGGACTGCCTCCAAATTCTTCAGCTTCACCTTAATTCAACAGCTACACAGTTGAAACCTGGTCTCAGTTGGGTGTTTGAATAGAATAATGATTCCAAGCACACATCAAAACTGGTTTTGTAATGGGTAAAGTAAGCAAAGGTAACATCAGGTTACCGGAACGGCCTCCCCAAAATTCCGGCCTCAATCCTAATCAAAATTTGTTGACTTTGCTTGAAACTGGTCAAATATCCAGTCAGAATTACAGCAGTTGCTTGCTGATGGCTACCAAAAGTACCTGGTTGAGGTGGAACTTGTTGAGGAACATTTAACCATTAGTGTGGATACAAGCAAAGTTTTGACCCTGAGTGGATTAAAGTAAAACAAAATCAAACTTGTGCAACCCAATGCTTGTTTTTCAGTCATTCAAGATATATGCTGTATAATTATTCCAGTCTGGATAAAGAACCGATCAAAGAAATCACTAGAAAATAAACTTATCATGACATTCATGTCATTGACGAGATATTTGGCCATAACTAAATGTATATCAGAGGGGCAGATCAGGCTAAGCGGTTAGCAGACAAAGTTAGAGGCAAGGTCGAGATGGTTCGGACAGGTGCCAAAGAGGCAAAGAAGGATATATTGGACAAAGGATTTTGAAGATGTAGCTGCCAGGCAGGAGGAAAAAAAGAAGACCACGGAGGAGATTCATGGATGTAGTGAAGGGGGGCATGCTGAGGGTTGGTGCTAGAAACAGGGTGAGATAGAGGACGATGATCAGCTGCGCTGACCCCTACAGGGAGCAGAGTTCTAATTAGCTAAAACAAAACAGATGTTAAACCTGAAATTAATGGAGAAAAAAAAACGCTCTTTTAAAGCCTTCAGGCTGAGTGGCTCAATAAGACGTTTGCCTGAGTCTTACCTCATCTTTGTTCGGGTCTAGTTCATTGCCTGTCTGCACAGAGACCGTAACAGTGGAGGAGTTTCCAGGGCATGCACTGCTGTCTGACAGCTTTCCGTCCACGATCATGTCAATGCCTTTGGGAGCAAGGTCCCCTTCCATTTCCACCACGATGCCGTGCCTCTTGTCAGCACGGTAACGCTTGTGCATGTATTTGTAGAAGAGTAGGCGGCGGTCAGCGATCCAAGCCAAGATCACACACACCGGAAAATACAGCAGCGTCACTATGGCCTCCCACACCTGATTATGCAGGCAACATGAAAAATAATCAGTTACTCATTTGATATATTAAAAATAGAATAAAAGGTATGTGTATACCTTTTAGCTAATTAGATGTTTGGGTGAGTTTTAGAAACACAACATCTAAAAATACAGACTGTGGGTGTGCAAAGGGTTACCAAGTGAGGATTTACCAAACCTTGTAATACAGCTCGTAATATTTTGAATGTCATGTAAGATTCAGTATTTAAGATCCCCGCATCTGTTTGAAGATTCTTGCCACTTACATTTTCCACCGTTTCCTTTTGTTCTTTACAGCAGAATTCAGGTGTTGATTTAAATATTTGTTTTCTTGCTAATCTGTCGGCCGTACATGAACACTGCAAAGTGCAACAGTGAGCCACCACTTCTGTGTCTGCAGCTCAGTCATGTGATGCTTTGCTTTGCCCTTCTGCCATGCAGAGATGTAGTTTTTATGAGTATTATTGATCTTTCAGGTCTTCCACAGTTTCCTCTTACTGACATTTCAGGTTCTTTCAAACTAATTGATGCCAACGAAGCACATGGGCATAGGGAAGCTATAAAAAGATATTTTCAGATCTGCTGCTTAGGCATAAGATTGTTAGGATTGCCACATTTGGTAGAATTGGTATGATTATTACTTTCTGATGAAAGAAAGTAAATTTAGCAGAGAGTAAATCTGAACAAACATTTGAAAACAAATGGCACTAATGTCATACAAATAAAAGTAACAATGCATTAATATTTAAAGCTGCGGGGTGTGAATTCTCACCACTAGATCTCAGCAGACTGCAGATTGAAGTCAACTGAATCCTGTTTTCTTACCTCTCCTTACCTTGCCTCTGGAGGAGGCTGTAAAACTGTGTAAAAAGAGTCCAGTGTGAGCGTATGAGTCAATGACGCTTACTTCTGACTGACGACAGGGATACTGCAGTGAGTTGTTGAAGATATCCTCAACTCTTCCGTCCATAAGTACTGCTGTTTTTGCCACTGCTAGCTGCTTTTAGCCAGTGTTAGTGGAAGTTTCTTTGAAGTGGATCTACTGTTGCTGACTTGGACATTTAGGGAATTCTCTTGTATTATATGAGAATGTAACCAACCCGTGTGCTTTTTGTAATAATCTAGTCTATCATTAGCTGGGGTAATACTGGCTTATAACCAGCTGTTATTGTTGTTTAGCTGGACCGTTGTCAGCTGTACGGAGTCAGAAGCGTCGCACGTCTAATCTGCTGACAAAAGGTAACTGTGATAATATCCGGAATAAATGTGTTGGAGACTTGAATTCATTTCAGGAGATTCCACTCGCATTTATGTTTTTTCATAAAGGGGACCCCTTCTTAGATGAAAAAATATGGGTATGATCCTGTCCGCAAGTGCCGGCACAAACTACAAGTTTGCCTCCACAGAATGCAAACCCCTACGAGTCCTCTTCTCCTCCGCCTATGGCAGTGGTGTCCAAACCCAGGCCTCGTAGGCCGGTGTTCTGCAGGTTTTAGATGTGTCCTTGATCCAACACAGCTGATTTAAATGGCTGAATTACCTCCTCAACATGTTTTGAAGTTCTCCAGAGGCCTGGTAATGAACTAATCATTTGATTCAGGTGTGTTGACCCAGGGAAGGCTCTATAACCTGCAGTACACCGGCCCTCGAGGCCTGGAGTTGGCCAAGCCTGGCCTATGGTGTACGGGCAGTCTCTAGCCATATTCATCCGGTCCTGTGTATTCCACGTGAAGGGCCAACATGGCATTTTCAATGAGTTTTCAATTTGTTGAAAGAAATAATAATACACTAGTCACTGTATATTTATGAGTACAACACATTTTTTCAAGAAAATAATCTCATAAAACCACAAACTTTAAAGAAATACTCATTTTTAAAGTGTGTTTAGTGCAGAGGCTGCATTTCCAAAAATCAACAATAGCACTGTGGCCAGAAGTACATATGTTTTTCAGTTAAAATGTATGCAACCATCAGAACATACCTCTACAATCCCAGGTGAGATGACAGCCAGTATGAGGTAGAGCCAAATGTAGGCATAGATACTCCAGAAAGCCGTTATGAAAAACACCCGGAGGTGTTTGATCTTACGAGACTCTCCGTCAGGGACCACCCACACACACAGACCAATTATCACAAACATATTGAAGGCAGCGCTGCCCACTATGGTGCCCGGGCCGATCTCCCCAGCATGGAAGTTGTGCCCACACACCTGTTAAAGTGAGAAAAAAAGAGTCAATCAAAGCTCATTTGTTAAGCTAACTAGAACCGAATAAGAGCCACGTAACAACTAGAATTCAAAACAGACTCCGAGTGCACATACAGCTCCAGCATTTGTTGTATATGTTACGCATATGTTGCTGCAAATGTAATGAGTTGTGCACCTCAATAACAGAAAGCAGGATCTCAGGTGCGGAGGAGCCCAGTGCCATGAGCGTGAGGTTGGATACAGTCTCATTCCAGATCCGTACCGTTGCGACTGTGGTTTCACCGTTGGGTTTGGTGACGGTCACCACTTTCTCCTGCAGTCACAGAAGTTTGGGAAAATGCCCAAAATGCTTAATTTCAGTTAAGACATATTTGAAATGCCCAAATACATCAGGTTGGAAATCTTGTTTACGGTCTGGTACAAAAAACAGCTCATTTGACTGTTGACAGTTTTACTCTTCATAATAACTGCACTGAGGACTGCTTCTCTAATTTCAAAATGCTGTTACATTGTGTAAAATGTAAACTCTAATCACAGTTTTTGAGTCTACTACGGTCCATTTTAAACAAGCTTTGCCACAGACAAGAATCCAGTACTGATTTTTGGCCCCATCCCTTGTGTACATGTATCAATCTTTTTATGATATTAGGTACTAAAGATGATGGATATTCAAAGCCTTCACAATTTTATGTTGAACAATATTCTATTTTTTAACAGATTGGCAAACCTTTATTTAAACTCTACTTCTCTAAAATAGTTTTTCTACACCCAGTCATGTTACTGACCTGTTGCTAGGTCATCTAATAAGTTTAAAACGTTTCTACTGGTTTTGCATGAAACTGTATTCTGCTGTGAACAAAATATGAATTTATAGGATTTGCAAAATCAGGCATTCTGCTTTTACATTTACATGGTGATCCAGCATTTTTGGAAGAGGGTGGTAATTTAATTTGTGTAAGGCATAAATTTAGGGGTCTGGCTGCTTTGATTGACAGGTATGCCACCACTTATTTAATAGAATTATCTGTAAAATAATTATCTAGTTGTAGAACAGCCAAGAGATTTGTGCTTTGGTTTTGGTACTGAAATTTAAACTAGCCTGTTATTTAGCACTGATGAGCATGTCTACAGCTTGCTAACCAGGATTACTACCTTTAGCGTCCATTTTTAGCTCCCAGAAAAACAAACAAACTAAGACTGTGATTCAAAAGTGGAATCCAGCAGCAATGGGTGAGGTGACAATGGCTTTGTCCATCTTATACTTACAGTCGATGCTTCAAACACAGTGGGCCTGATACTAGAACTACTTTTGTTTTGGCAACGAGTTAATGTGATAAAATTATTTTTTTAAATTGAAGATTGAAAATTTAAAAATTTATAGTAAATATTTTAAAACTGTTTCTCTTTATTACCTAATTCTCATATCTGTTAATTCATCTAAGGCGACATATACTGGCACTTTACTTTGATATTTAAAAAAATGCAAGCTCAAAGTGCAAACAAAATTTGCCTTTTCCTGATAAAAAGGAGCCAAAACACTCTTCAACTATGAGCAAACACAAAACCCTGATAGTAAAAAATTTAATGGTTGCATTTTTTAATTCCCAATTTTAAGTTCAATAATACCTGCGAGGTAATGACTTCTATAGATGCCATGAAGCGGTCTGCAATGATGGACACACCCAGGAACATGTACATGAGACAGAGGAAATAGATGATTGCCCTCCCTGCCTGCTCCCCCAGTGGAGGGTTGAGTGGTAGCCACACCGGCAGCAGGATGCCGGGTTTACAAACCACAGTGTCAGAACACGTCCGTTTTCCAGAGCCTGAGGTGTTACCAGAGGATTGCGGTAGCTCAGGGTCAGATGCTCGCTCCACAACCTGGGGCTTGAAGGAGGTCCCGGCGTGGCACAGGAGGAGGAACGAGAGGAAGAGGAGGCTGGAAAGGTAAACCGGAGGGGGTCCCATGGTATCCCTGAGTCAGGAAGGGCCTGGGGGTGGGGTTCACTGGGGGAACCGCTGGGTCAAAAGAAACTCCTAGTGAAGCAGAGGAGCACACATTTTTTTGAGAAAGAGAAAATCTTTATCGTATACGATAGTTTACATATCTCACCATGTCTTAGATGGTACATGATAGGCTGGTTCTTATGCCCTGCTTTTCTATTCTGCTCGAGCACTCGAAGCGCTTTATATGACAACAAGCTTCGTACACCCACTAATACACCTTCATACAGACATGCCTAAGTGCTTTCTAGCCAACATTCACACACAAACACACACACACACACACACACTACATTCATCAGGAGCAAGTAGTTTGTCTTTTCATCCTCGAGTGTCGTGGTCTGGATGCACTATCCAAGAATGTGAACATCAGCATTTAAAGCAATTCAAATGTAAACTATAACAGCAATGGCATGCAAATAAGTACATTTTAAATATGCTCTACATCAGATTACCATAAAAACAACATAAAAACATGGATGCGGCTGTAAGAACAGTTCTGCAGTCTTCACACAAAATTCTAGACACGCTGCTTCATTTCTGGTATTATTATGATCTTTGTGAGCATTTTAAATATTAGACGTGTTTTAGTATCAACTGTCAAAGCTCCTCCCCTTCCCGCATGTTTACTACATGGATAAAAATTGAAGATATGTGCGTGTATCCAACTCTGGACTTTTTCTAAGATTATCCATCTGAATCCAGCACTTTATAGCAGGTCATATGGTCGATGTTGACCTACTAGCAACAGTTTCCTTGCTATCCTCTAAATAATTTGTAATTGATCAGTAATGAAACTGGCTAGTTTTCAGCACTGATGTTTTGTCCAACATTGCGATTGAGAATTGGACTTTCATAACATTAGTTTAAAGCATATCCATATTTTAGTTAACATTTAGTTAGAATTAGGGACGTGTAATGTGGTTCAGACACCAAAAGTGGGGAGGATTTGTATTCAGGTAACCCTGGTCATGAGATTAAGGAGCCACCAGTTGTCTGGGTTCACAGCAATGATCCATTCATTTATTAGTAGAAATGACAGAACAGCATATTGTGAAACATAAAACCAACAGAACAGCAGTCACAAGAGATGTTAGTCTTCACCATCAGACTAGATAAGGACATTTTAATTGAACACATCCAGACTCCTGATGATTCCTGACATCCTGAAACAGCACTTCAGTGAATTCACCAACTCCCCCATGCTGACTTCCAAAACATCAAACCACAACAATACTAAGCACTGATGGAATATTGGATTTGGCTAAACAATGCTATTGACATTGCTGATAAGCGCTTAAGGAGGGAGTGCTGTTAACCCTTCCTGAGTTGCCTCATTGCCGTAATCATGTTCACCTAAAGTCTTGATCCACAACCTCACCAAATTCCTCTCAGACTTGAGTTTTTACTTCAGCCACTGCCTGAGCCACACTCCACTTGGCCTAATGGTTCCCATCAGCTGCTTCGGGAGTTCCACAAACTCAATAAGACTACAGTCCTCTCTTCACCTTAGTGCCCGAGAGATACTACCACAGTTCTAATGACTCAAAAGACTTGCTTTTAACAGGAAGAAAATCTCTGGCAAGAATCCACCAAAGAAAGGAGTCCCGTAAAGCTGTGTCCTCTGCAGCGTCATGCAAAGAAGAGTTAACATGTCATCCCCAAGCTGAAAGTGAAGGAAAGAAACCCTTTACTCCACCAAGGAAAACCCCAACATACAACTTCAGAGTGGACCAGAGTCCAGCTCCTTTTCAGGAAACAATGTCAAGAACCTGAGTTCTGTGTTGAGGTCAAGTCCAACTATTTCTAGCTCTCCACTTAATCAACTAGGTAATGCTTAAACTGCATTCACATTAACGATAAGCAGAATTTTTGACAACAACATATACCGGGCTTGTTTGTTTCCCAATAACCCCACCAATTACTATTGTGCTCTTCACTTACCCTCCATGTATTTCTATGCAGCCAGTAATGTCAGACTGCTGGTTTTCAGTAACTTCACTGATTTAAACCAGAAATAGGAACACAGGCAAAAATGTCACTAACTGTAAAGATGTGCTACCTTCACTTATTGATTGATCACTGAGTCATGATGTTGCAGTCAAGTATTCTAGAGCAGCGGTCCCCAACCTTTTTTGCACCACGGACCAGTTTAATGTCAGACAATATTTTCACGGACCGGCCATTAAGGTGTTGTGGATAAATACAACAAAACAAAATGATACAACTGAGACAAAAACTGTGGTATTTTGTAAGTATAATAATAAACACAAATTCACTGTGTAATTGTGTAACTTTATTAGCAGCGTCCTCCTGAAATGTGCCAACAACATCGAGAGTAACATCCTCCTCTCTGCTCCTTAATGCTCTCTGGTCGCTATGGTAACGCGCAAATATTTATTTCAAAATAAGACACACAACTACAACACGGGAAAAGACCCAGGGAAACAGAGTTAACGATAAAACCCCTGAAAACCATGAATTTCACATCCGAGCCTCAACTCTCGCGGCCCGGTACCAGTCCATGGCACAGGGATTGGAGACCGCTGTTCTAGAATTCTCAAGTTGAAAACAAGTATTTTGGCCATTTCCAACACGTGTTTTTGATTGAAAGGAAGATTAACAATATCAAGCACCACACAGACAAAGTGTAACAGGGAGATTTAGTGTAAGCAGTGAGTCTGAGGGTGTCATAGCAGGGTGGGAGAAAGATTTCAGCCTTTTTTCAGTGCTCCTCTTGATCCCAACGCCTCCACTGCTCTTGCACAGGTGACACTGCACTATTGTGCACTGTGACTTGAAACAGATACTAGGGTGCTGCATCTTTGATGCAGCCGGAGCTCTGCCAGCTCATTATGCAGTTGTGATTCAAAAACACAGCCCTGAGGGCCTGCAGCATCACATTTCACTTTCCAAGGCCTGCTACGGTTACCTCGACCTCAGACAGAGGGCTACCTTACGCCAGTGGTTGTTGTGGGGGAAACAGGCTCACCAAAAATAACCTCCCCAATAATCATATTTGGACAATAGAACAAAGAACAAAACTGTTTGGCGCAAGTTTGAGCATGACGACAATAACACTACAAACACTCTTTATCTATTTGTTTTACTGTCACATAAAAATTATTTAAAAAAATAATAATCTGAATGCCAGCCCCTTTAAGAAGTCCACTAAATGTAAAAGTGAGAACCAAAGACTTCAATATTTTATATGACCTTTTTAACATTGTGACGAGACATGCTTAAAACATAAACTCAGATTTGTTCAGAATAGTACACGGTGAATTTTGATGATTGGTAGCATGCAACAAAGCCTCAGTGGATAATGAGTGCTAGCTAATCAAGAAGCTGGTACAGGATAAGCTGGATGCATTATTGATCAATGCATTCACCTAAATATAGAAGGATATCTCTTCCTTTCAATCACCTACTCTTTAAGGATCATTCATATGAAGAGCCAAGTGGATTTATGAGTCAGACATTAAGTGCGTGCTTCATAGTCTTTCCACTTCAGGGACTGGGTAAATAGGCAGATAAATTGGCAGACTACTGCTCCTCCCTTCGAGCTGTGCAGCTCTGCAGTGGCACTGATTCAGGTCAACTCTCTGATTTTTCTGGAGGACTGATGTTCACTGGGAACTTTATTGTCTTTTAAGGATTATAAAAAAAACAAGGATAGTGAACAACATAAAGTGCAAAAAAAATGTGGCACTCTCTTCTTACAAGCCTCTCTAATGCCTGGAGTACAGGGGTCCCAGGGTGTTGACAACTCTGTGGTCTCTCTGTCCTCTTCACGCACAGGAACAGTGAGCTGGATGACAGCTCCTCTCCCCTTACGGCCTCCGACACGGCCACTATCTGTCAGCACCACCGATAAGTGATTGCCTGGGGTTATCTTACACTGATAGGAGAGCCAGCAGAAAAAAGAGTTAGCACCTTTAACAGTTTAATATTTCCCGCCTGTATCCTGGCCGTGGGGTATTGTCAGATAAAGGGATGCTCTTTCTGACATGTGGAGCAGTCGGGCATACAGGTGAGTTAAAGATGAATAATTAAAGCATCAATAATACGAAGAAAATGCAATCGGACTTACAGGAGTAATTTCACAGGTGTCCAAAGTCTTCCTGACCACTGGCTATTCTGTGTTAGCGCCAACAACCAAGTGGATGACATGGCTTTCTGCTGTGACTCTAAACCAGTCAGACTCAGAGACAGTGAGGCAGATGGGCGTGTTACTTATTCACCAATGGATTATCTATTACAGTCAAGTTAAGTACTTTGATTACAGTGATCACAGAATTAACACATATATATATCAAATACTAAGCACTCTTGTCTAAACTAAAAAGAAAACCAAAGACACTTCCTGTCTTGGTCCCGTTTGACACATTCTCCAAAACAGAGACCTGAAACGCACACACAGACCTTCTAATCAGCGATCCATCACTGCAGGAAGAAACTGTGTTGCCCCAACAGCTCAAACATTAACCTATATGCAGATTGACACAGATCAATTTTCCAGGATGTAAGCTCTATGCACAGGTAAACCAATAACACACCGTGTATCAGTTTCACAGCCAGCCAATCATGGCCTGCGATTGCACACAGAGCACAAGCTTACACTCGTCTGTAAAGCGTTTCCTCTGCATTCTAACAACATCTACAGTGAATCACAGACGCACTCACCTGCCGTTCAAGAAAATATCATAATAACTCTCAGTGTTAATAGGCAAAATTTACCACTAACAAATAACCAGTTAATACCACAAACATACATCAAAATATACTTTAGCTGTAAAATGGTAAATGGCCTGTATTTGTATAGTTCTTTACTAGTCCCTAAGGACCCCAAAGTGCTTTACCTCTGCCCTCTGACCACCACCAGTAGTAGGCAATGGGTGAAGTGTCTTGCCCAAGGACACAACGACCGAGACAGTCCAAACCGGGGCTCAGACCAGCAACCTTCAGATTACAAGGCGAACTCCCAAATCTTTTTATTTATTATTATTATTATCTATTTTGGTTCTCTGTGG